CCACCCTCCTCTCGGCGCTCCGGCCAGTCGGGGAGAGCAGGGCCCCGGCCGGGCTCTCCACCCTCCTCTCGGCGCTCCGGCCAGTCGGGGAGAGCGGGTGCCCCGGCCGGGCTCGCCGCCCTCCCCTGCCGTGCTCCCCGCCGGGGGGCGAGGGGCTGCGGGAGGCTTTTTTGCCTGGGGCGACCAAAAAAGCCAGAGCCGGCCCTGGTTTGTGGACACAACAGGAAAAGGAGCTGCAATTGTAATGGGGAAATAATGAAGCCATGGATGAAGATTTCAACAGAGGAGCAACAGAGCTAATATTGTATATGGGTCACATTATGGGGTGATAAAATAAGCAGGTTTGCAAATCTATAATAGCTGTGGAGAAAAGGAGGAGAAGAATTCAAGGTTGAGATAGATACCAAGCTGAGGAGCACCTGTGCTTGAGGATATGCTTCTTGCCCAGAAGAAGTGTTGAATACCAACAACGAAGCGTTAGTTGAGGTTAAAGGCAGAGAGGGAGTAAACAAATGGCATAAATCAAGAACTGAATCATGAGAGACTCCATAAAGGAGATATCTGGGTGCAAACGGTGAGTGGAACCATGACTCAGGGAGCCAGAGATAACTGCATAGGCATGGGAGTAGTTCCCAGAGGATGGAAAGGTCAGTGCTGCAAGACAAACCAAGATAGAGAAATCAGAGAGAAGAAGGTGGTTGATTACACAGACAGCAATTTCTGGGATACAGCCAGAAACCTAGATAGAAATCGGTCCTGGATAATGTGAGGGCAACGAAGGGGCAACTTTCTGAAGCACTTTGCTGTTTGGCTTTTCCTATCAGTGTCAAGGGCAGCTTTATTTTTTACAGGTGTTTATGAAGTGGCTAATCAGAGTGATATATTTTAGAAAGTAGAGGAATTATGGACAACGGAGGAAATACAGAGCATAAAAGTGGCAAGAAAAGACCAAATGCTACAACAGGGAAGGGATTTACAGGAAGAAGGGACTAGATGAATATAAGGAAGGTGCCAGGAGCGAGCATGGAACTGGAGAATGAATGAATGAATGAGGGCGCTATTGGGAAGTCAAGATATAGCTGTGGATTAAGGAACCTTGAATAAAAGGGAAGAAAAATCTTCACACTTAACCAAGGAAGAGC